TGTCAGTTTTTGTCGGCTATCGGTGAATCGGAAAGAGATTGTCGCCACATTTTTGAGCAATGTCGCCTGTCGCCAAAACCCCTCGGAAGTCCTCATCAAGAGCAGCGTCTCTTACTTTGGATGCAGTATATGCTTGTTATGGCGCCTTTCGTCCTAATAATTTTGACTGCAGTTAGAAACAAACCGAAACTCTTTTTTAACCTCGAATAGCCTCTAGCTAAATACATTTTTCGGTCTCTGTTTCTCGACAAAGTATTGGACGACGAGAAGAGTATCATATTTCAATAACATTCACGTTGGTACAACAACGTGGGCTCCATATTTGGTTGTTGTCTATCTGGACTTTGTCCGGTGCGCGCGGAATACGTGATAAATGCAGGTTGTTTACAAGGAATCGACACGGTGATTGGGTGAAGTCCAAAGTGGCTAAAAGCGAATTTAAGTGGTAGAAAACGTCTAAGCACGTGAGGATTGCGTGAAAAATGGACTAACAATATCATTGTTCCTTGTAAAATTTCTTTCTGCCAGATAGGATTTCTCTAAACATAATATTTAATTCATCGAGTAGTTTTAGAAACAAAGTTAAGGATATTTAATGTGGCAGACGACACAGAAAGTAAGTGTAACTCGGTGGTCTTTCAACCTTCACAAAAAGAGCAGTCACAAGGCAAAAAAAAAAAAATTATCAATCAAGTATGCTTTATGTAAATGCTTTTACGCAGGTTTTATCTGAGTCAGCAAAACTAGCCCTTCCAAAACAAAAAGCTCAAGTGATAAAGTGATGTTAGGCCTTCATCTGACAATGTGTGCATTGTACGTGAAGGAGCGGTACAGCAAACACGTCTTAACTTCTAAAAGGTAGAAAAATTACCTGACGACCTTTCTAATTCCGACAGATCATAGCGAAGAAGTCCTCACGAAGGACATGAACCATTATACTGGTATCCTAATTTCCTAACATGATTGACACGAGGGACGACACTCTGATCAGTGCAAGCATACCCCAGCGTTGTGATCTCATTGGTGCATAATACATAGCCTAATGTGGCAATTCCGTAAACGTCACTCTTAGCCTTTCTGATGATCTAACAACCAAGCACAAGACCAAAATAACACTGAAAGTTTTATTAATTCCCCCATATATTATAATGGTTATCGGCTCTTTACCTTTGGAGTTTCAATAGATTTCCAATAATTATACTATATAATCAATGCACTCTAGCCTCGACTTCAGTCTTTATCCCACGGCCTAACAAAACACCTAGTCCGTGTATCTCGATTATGCAAGAAATTGAACAACTTGTATTACATAATTTATAATTGGAAAATTTTCACAATATTCCCCAAAATTCTATATCATCACTTCTGTTTTATTGCTGATAATTTTTGACATAACTTGTCTTCTCTTAAATCAATCCAAATTTACAATATTAGGCGACTAACAATGTCTTATTTAGGTAATTAACTTATTCTTATTCTCAAGTACTCTCCTCTTTATAAATACATATTTTAGGCATGGTTAACCATCTTCGCTTTAGCTGTTTTAACTGCATTTTTACATACAAATTGCTTGAGCACACAAATTTAACTTAACTCATTACTTTAGCTTTGCCTCTTGACGGGAACGAAATATTCCTACCTAGTATAAACAAATAAATAAGTACATAAATAAATATAGATTATAAATCTTTGATGTTAAGCATTTCGACAAATAATTTGTACTTTTCAGTGTTACTCATTACAATAAATTTTATGTTTTCATTTTTTTTGTTATGCATACACGCAAAATGAACTCTATTTACACTTTTACGGTTTGTTCGCATGTACCATACGGATGAGACCTCGATGACACGCCTTCTACGACACGCAGATTCTGAAGGTGAAAACCAAACTTTCGCGGATGTTCTTGCTTCCATAACCCTTTATTGTATAAAGGCATTGAAAAGCAGAACAAAAACAAATCTAAACATGACAAAACATTGAATACAAAAGAAAAGCAAGACGGAAACAAACAAGACAATAAGAAAAAAATCAATAACTCCTTCACTACAAACACATGAACTCAACTTATTCAACTCACAGAAGTACCCAACCTGCCTTTCTCAGTGAGGTGCCTGTAATGTGCTTGGAGGAGGGATAAAGCGCAATTCGAGTGATGGCGGTTGAGGTGCGTAATGAGCATGTCATTGAAAGTGCACTGAAGTAACAATACATTTGTAGAGTTGAATTGAAGAAATCCAAGCGATTCAGCAGATGTTATCTTCACTTCTGTTCTCTTTGGAAGGACCGGCGTAAACGCTTAGTAGATTCTTCGGTGAAGACAAATACCAAAGTCAGAAATGCGTGCCAAGCAAAACAGAGCCTATCATTTCTACTAATTAAAGGCAAGTATCAAGCCATTCTTTGGATCGCTTCACGTCGGCGGGAACAAATCCGTTTCGATTTTCACGGGCGCTTGTGTTTGCCCCGAGAAAACACTCTGTTCCCAAGGATCCGTGGGATAGATCATCAACTGAGCACACACTGCTAGTCTCCATATCTGCGACGGTCACGTGAAAGTTTCGGAGATCTGGTGCCGAAGAACTTTTCGTAAGTTCTCTTTGACCCATGCTTTCAGCGTCGCTCAAGAAGGAGAGGTCGAGAAGCTCTCGGTCAATTTGAATTCTGAGAGCGTTTAGAGAGTCAATATCGTCACGGCGTTCCACAGAAATTACCTCATCACTGGGCTAAGAGGAAGGAATGAATTAAAATTTAAGATATGGTCAAAAATGCATTCATGAATAAGGCCATCGTATAGTAGCTTGTAACGAATTTTGGTGGGTTTCTCGCGATTTTCGCCTGACAGTTATCTTTGTATCCATTTAACAAATAGATTCCATTTTACCAAATCTCCGTTCAGTTTGAAATCTCAGTGGACGCTAAAATTCGGTAAGAACAAAAGAGTGGCACACAGGCAAGTCACTCTAGTCCTCAACACATTTTTGCGTCAAGTGTGATCTATGACATGCATAATAGAGAAGTTATTTGATTCCTTTCCGCGAGATAGCAGAATTATCAAGGTCTTAGCTTGTGTTATCCGCCTCACTCTTTCACGCCCAAAAATAATTCTCTTTATGATTCCGAACTTGATTCAATTGTTAAATATGACTAGAGTAAGCATCCTTACTTGGTATATAGGGTTCTCGAAAGTCTTCTCCTCAATGTAGGGATGAGGCAGTGTATCTGCATGGTGGTCTTTCAGTTTCATTCGCCCGTTTCTCCGTCTGTAAGCCCTCAGTTTAAATATAAACAAACCAAAGACAGCAAGCAACACCAATACGACTGCTGCCACGACAACTGGAATTGCATAAGACGACTTGGTCGGGGAACCTGGATACGACAAAACAAAAAACCGCGATCGTCTGTTTCAGTTTCCATTGATCCTTAAACTCCCAATATCAGATTAGCAATTCTCCTTCTCGTTGCTATGTATTTCCTTGTTAATTCGTAATGAGAATATGTTGCAATGCACTGAAACTGCAAGTCGACGTTACATGCCGATCACCTCTGGAAGTTTGAGGCTTGAATGCTTGCGGTTAAAATAAACAAACGCCAGAAGTATTGAAATAAGAGCAAGTCATGATACACTACAGATCCGTGTTCATGGCATGGACTAGCGTAGGTAAAATAAGTATGTCGTAGCTTATCGCCGGCTCAATGCTAACATTAACGACTGTAGTTAGTGTTATTAGTAGGGATGACATGTTGGGAAAACTCGAAACTCTTTGGATGGAAAAGTCATGTTGAAATCAACCACTCGAACAACAACAACAACAACAATAGCAACCACTATCTCAGTTTGTACTCTCCCTTACCTTATAAGCTATTACGAAAAAAAAAACTGAAATTAAAATTAGAGTACTGGCTACCTGAAATGACCGGCATAGGGGCAAGCGGAGCTAGGAAGCCAGACAGAGTGCAACTGAACAATACAGAGGTGAAAGGCTGAGAGGTAATGTTAGTAGTCATTACTCGTAAATTTCTTTTGAAGCATTGGCATCCCTGAAAAGATGACGCTACGCTCTTGTAGGGAAGGGTTAGCCCTTTACTCCGTAACATCAGTCAATCAATCAATGAACAAGTTTATTGTCTTTACGTGAGGCATGGTTATCCAGGTTGCCCGAGCCAGAGGCTCATGTATGAAACGTGAGACAGCAACCCACCCATCCCACAGCAATCTCGTGCGTGGGAAATTAACGCAGGACACGAGGCTTACGGTTTATTCGTCCTTATCCGAGAAGACTAGAATATCTATCCATTTCTTGATATTATAGAAAGGTAGCAAATTCTCCTCAGTTATTTTAAGACCACGAGTATTGGTCCGGCCGGGGCTCGAACCCTCGAGCTCCCGCACGACACAATCCGGCGCTCTAACCAATTGAACTAACTGGGGGGCGGTCAATATTCTCCATACTGTTCTCTAGACATTTCCTAAGGTGCTGACGAGGATAATTTGTTTAACAATCAAGACCTTCTTTAGTACGTTGGTGATCGTTTCCTTTATTCTTGTGCCCTTCATGTGTGAAGCAGGGGTGATAATGTAAGGAGAAACTTGTTTCTAGTCACTCTTTGAGGTCAAAGGGTTAAAGGTTATGGTTAAAGGTTATGGTTAGGGTTACAGGTTATGGTTTTAGGGTTAGGGTTTTAGGGTTAGGGTTAGGAGTTAGGGTTAGGGTTTTGGAACCTTGTCACCTTGTCGCTTGCGACGATCAGTAGCAATCCAATGGTTTTAACCCAAATAAGCAATCGAAACTTCTCACTGATTTTTATCCTTCAACATGTGTGAACACAACAACAAAATGTTGTTTACGGTCTGAAAGTTCCCGCTTAACATGAATTACAGCAACAATGTTTTCAACTTTGTGCTGGCTTCGAGAGTCAGTCATTTCTTATCACTAGTTAAAAGTTGAGATTAGAAGCCTTCCATTGTTCATTACCTACCTGAGAATGCTGCATTGTCAACTTCAGCCACAAGGTGACAAGTGAAAGAGTCAATTCCGTCGATACAGTTCATGTTTTTTCCACAAGGATTTGACAAACATTCATCTATTTCTGGAGGGTAAATTGAAAAAAAAAGGTTCTCTGTAAAAACGACAAATCAAACAGAAAATTGCCAAACTAATTTGGGTGGAGACCGTGGAGTTAGGGTTAAAAGTGCTGGCTCCAACGGCAATGGCGCTCTTGCACTAACGCACAACTCGCCCTTGGTCCTCATCTCCTTAACCGAAATTTCCGTAGAAAAACAGGAACGATAAAACCATAAACTCAAAACTTTGTCAGTGTTCTCACTAACTTTTCTTTAAAGGTTACTAAAGTCAATGTGAGGCCTCGGTCCAGACGTCACTTACCATAACAAGGGGTACTGGGCACCAGATTGACAATCAACCCAACTTACCGTGCTGACAAAGAAGTCCTGAGTATCCCTGATAACACATGCACGTAAAACCAGAGCGATGACTCACGCATGCTCCGTGTGGCCCACATATGTTGGATGGAAACGTCATGTTACTATCAGCCACTCGAACAATACAGTGGTCAAAAGCTGGAAGGTAATGTCAATCGTCTTTGATTATAAATTTCTTTGACGCATTGGTATAGTTTAGAACACCACATTACACTCCTGTGTGAGAGTGTAAGAGAGGGTTTACCCGTTTGATCTTAACACATTTCCTAAGGTGCTGACAACGAGAATTTGTTTAACAATCAAGAGCTTCTTAGGTGGTCGATCATCTCCTTTATTCTTGTAACCTTAATGCATGATTCATTGGTGATATTGTGTAGTTAAATCACTACCCTGCACAAATGCTCTGGAGTAGAATCTGGGATGACACTTGAAAGACCATGTATTGCCGTTCTCCTCGATTAACTGAGCTGAAATTTTGGTTAAAATTATGAGGCAAAATTCGTCCCGTTACTCAAACAAACCCTTTTACAATGTTCAGATGAAGTACTGCAACTTCAAAATACATAAAACAATCCGCAAACATGATTTTTTTCATAGAGATTTCGCGAACAAGTTTGTCTATTTCTCGCGTCAGTTTTACGACAACTGTTCAAATTAAACCTCATTTTCATCGTCTCACCTTTCTCACATCTTTTTCCAACATAACCCACAGCACATTTGCAGAACAGGCCCTTTCCATTGTCAACGCAAGTGGCACCATTGACACAAGAAGATGATTGGCACCTGTCGTTCTTAATTTCGCAGTGGTTGCCATGGTACCCTCCGGGGCATATGCACTCACTACCATTTCCAGTTTGACGGCATCTCCCATCGTTTAAGCAAATAAAGCTCGCACAGTTATCTGTTTCTTTTACTTCACAATTGCGACCTGAAGGTAGAATTTATTCTTGAACACTTTCAGTCATACAGCGTGTATGTCATCTTTCAATATGAGAACCAACGAAAGAAAAGGGGGGGAGGGAGGGAGGGGGGAAGGAGGGGAAAAGGGAAAGTCAGTAAAGCGAAGCGCGATGGTAAACGGCGCTCTAAAGAGCGGAGGAGTGAAAAAAACGAGGGAGGCTTGGGTCGAGTCGCGTAATGAACCCGAGCCGACCCAAATCTCCCTCGCTATTTCACTCCTCTGCTACAATCGAAGTTCGCTCCGTTTTACTATGAACGCCTGTAACAAACTATCGAAAAGGCTTTTACAAGTTGAATCAAATTCTTGTTGTCTGAGTAGAAGGGTCAGACAGGAAAATATTTGGCTCGAGGTCATGACGCACGGACCGACCGCAACGAGGTCAGTGTTTCATAACTGAGAAAACTGGCATTGCTATTTTGAGAAAAGAAAACAAGGGGTTCTCAATAAGAATTTTAGCAGTTTCAACTGCTTTTCTCACCTTTGAAGCCTGATGGACACCAGCAAGTGAATTCAGATATCTCATTAGAGCAAGTTCCATTATTCTGGCAGGGTGACACTGCACACTGATCCACCTCTACAGAACAGTTCACACCTGTATAGCCAGCAGCACACACACAACTAAAACTGTTCACGCCATCCACACATCTGCTTCCATTGTGTTGACAAGGCTCAAACAAGCAATCATCAATATTCACTCTACAAGTTTTCCCTTTAAACCCAAGAGGGCATACACAGAGAAAGTCGTCTACCATGTCAAAACATTTGCCTCCATTATGACAAGGGGAACCGGCACAATCATCTACATTAACTTCACAATTGTCTCCAGTGAAGCCACCTTGACAGACACATTTATAACCACCAACTTCGTCTAAGCACGTTCCATTGACACATGGCTGTGACTGACACTCATCTATGTCAGTCTCGCAGTGGACACCTGTATACCCCAGGGGACAGTTACAGGTAAAACCATTCACCAAGTCGATGCATGAGCCTCCATGGCGACACTGTTGATTGACACAGTCGTCAATGTCTACATCACACTGTTTGCCTGTGTAACCTGGTGAACACATGCATTCGAAGCTATTCACAAAATCAGTACAGTTGCCCGAGTTTTTACATGGCTGCCTGGCACAATCATCAATGTTTATTTCACAGTTGTTGCCCCAAAAGCCTGGACTGCAAAAACATTGAAACTTGTTGATACCATCAAAACAGTACCCTCCATTTAAACAGCTGTCGCTGGCACAGTCATCAATATTTTTCTCACACTTCTTTCCAGTAAAACCTAGTTTGCAGGTACAATTAAAGCCATTAACCAAATCAGTGCATAACCCATCATGGTAACAAGGAAATGAATAACACTCATTGATGTCTACAGTGCATGTGTGCCCTTGGAAACCTGGGGCACAAATGCACTTAAAGTCATTAACCAAATCCACGCAAGTTCCTCCATTGCTGCATGGATCAACTTTACAATCATCAAAATCTATTTCACAGTATTGACCAGCATATCCCTTAGCACAGAGACAAGTAAAATTTTTGACACCATCTACACAAGTGGCATTGTTTTGACAAATGTGTGATTGACAGTGGTTGATATCAACTTCACAATATGTGCCAGTGATACCTTCTGGACAAACACAATTATGTGAAGAATTAAAAGACATGCAAGTACCCCCATTGCGACAGAAAAATGCACTGCATGCATCAACTGAACCAGCACAAGTTCTTCCTGTGATGCCTCCAGAACAGTTACACTTAAAATTGTCTACCAAATCAATGCAATCTCCACTCTGACAAGGATTAGGAGAGCAGTCATCAATATTTAATACACAAGTTGCATCTGTAAATCCGTTGCGACAAATGCAGTCATATCCTTGTCCATCATGGCTGTTAATGCATGTTCCACCATTCAAACAAGGCAAATTAGCACAATTATTAACAATCACATGACAGTTTTTACCAGTATAGCCTGATGGACAAGTGCAGTTGTAATCGCTGACAAGATCTACACATGTGGCATTGTAATGACAAGGACTATTCGCACAGTCATCAATGTTAACCGCACAATCCTTTCCTGTAAACCCAGTCTGACATACACATCTAAAGTCATCCACTGAGTCCACACATATGCCTTGATTCTTACATGGCTGCAGAACACAGTCATCAATGTCAACTTCACAGAACTGTCCTGCGTAGCCAGGCTTACAGATGCACCTGTATGAGTTTATTCCATCAACACAAGCTGAGTTGTGCATACACTTATGGTCTCTGCATTCATCAATATCTATCTCACACTTTGGACCAGTGAACCCACTCATGCAATTGCAAGAAAACCCAATGACTAAGTCAACACAGGTAGCATTATTGTCACATGGTGTGGATAAGCAGTCGTCAATGTTCACTTCACAGGTTGCTCCTTTGAAGCCCACTGCACAGTCACACTGAAAATCATTCACCTGATCATGACAGGATCCTAGAAAAATGTAATAGCAAAAATGTAACATTAATTAGCATTACAATTTAGACACATAAAGGACCCTCCACCACTTGCCACCCCCTCTTTAAAGCTGGTAATTTAAGGTGATTTACAATGAACAGAGTTCAAACCATTAATGTAAGGATTGTACCACATCTCAAACAAATGTACAACATCTATCATATTGTAAGTTATATTTCTTAATTGATTTTATTTCTCACTCCTTCGGGAAACTTCCACTGAGGCTTTTTTCATGGCAGTTGGCATCAAATCATTTTGCAAAGGATGCTTTGCCTTTATTGTCAGATGTCATTTGAAACATTTGAGCCATTAATAGTAATTGCTGAAAAATGAATTCATTTGGTGAAAATAAGAGGGTGAAATTTTTTCAGACCTGAAAACCATTAGCACTTCTAACCTTTCACTGATTGATTGTGCATGCTCCTTAGAATAACTTTGTATCAGCGGGTCAACTGGCAGAGTTCTCACAGGACATTCTCACAATGTAAAATTAAACTACAAAATAAACTCACCCCCATTCTTGCAGGGCGCTTGCTCACAATCATCTATGTCCCTATCACAATTTTTTCCTGAGAAACCAGTCTTACACACACAAAGATAATCATTCACCCCATCTGCACATATTCCTCCATTCTGGCAAGGATTACTACCACATTCATTGTAGTTTACTTCACAAAAGACTCCTGTGTATCCTGGCAAGCATGTACAGGAAAACCCATTTACCCCATCAATACAGGTGCTACTGTGAAGGCAAGGTAAGCCAACACAGTCATCAATGTCAGTCTCACAGAACCTTCCCGCAAATCCAGGCTGACAGTGACAGCGAAAAGCAGAAACAAGATCTTGGCATGTTGCCCCATTCTTGCACGGATTGCCTTGACAGTCATCAATATTTGTCTCACAAATAATTCCAGTAAATCCCTTACGGCATTGACATCTAAATGAGTTCATCTGCAATTAGCAAAAATAACAGTTAGTTTGCTGCTTGTGCTTTGAAAGGGATGTTGCAGCACAAGCTCTAGCTAGTGACCTGTGTTGCACTCGTAGGTTAGACTCTGAAGTCCAGAACTTACACCATTTCATCTTGAGATATAAATTAGAGTGCTGTAATAAACTGTCAGGAAAAACTACAGAATGTTTCAAATTAAAAAGTAAAGTTTGCAAGTAAGTGTCTAAGTGGCTGACATGAGGTGCCAAAGCTTATTCTGGTCACTATAGCTGCATGAAGCAGTCAGGAGTGTTGCTACTACCCCTGAATGGAATGCTACAATGTAGGTTGTTACATGTCGGCCCACTGCATTCTTCATGCATCCCAGAAAGTTTGCCTTTTCACATTATATAATCTTGGGTAAATAAAGGCATTGTGAGAGCAAAATGTCTTGTACAAGAACAGGACATAATGACCCCAGTTAGGTCTTAGCCAGGATCTCTCGCCCCTGGAGTCCTGGGCCCAGTTTGAAGGCTGATCAGCTGATCAGGTTAAATTTTCATCTAGGATTCTTTATCCCTTTGTTCAAAAGCCTTTCTCTGATAATTTCTCTATTCTTTGAAGGGCACCCAATCATCAAATTGTTGACAAAAATGATTGTACTGAATTTTCTATACAATGTAGAAGGTTTCAGATCTTAAATCAGATTTCACACCAACCCTGGGTTATCTAAACCCAGCTTTGAACAACCCGACCCAGCATGCTAATCATTATGCCAACATCTCTCACCTTCTCAAATATACAGTACATACACTGTACATATACTATGACTTAATTTCCAGGTGACTGGGCTTACACATGAAAGACAATAGAGTATGAATTCTGATGTAAGTCACCTGATCAATACAGGTCCCATTGTTACGACATGGATGTGCAGCACATTCATTTGTGTCAACTGAGCAGCTACTTCCTGTAAATCCTGCTGCACAATGACACACCTGCTGTCCACTGGCAGTTATAACACAGGTACCTCCATTCAGACATGAGGTGGGTAAACAGGTACTATCATAACCCTACAAAATACAGTTACAGTCTGTATTAATATTAAGCTGTCACCCACAGGAAATGGCAGGGTGACAGTTTAATACAACTAGGTTAATAAAGGTTCCACAGATTAGGGGTATCATGAAAAACAATAAACAATGCCAGTTTAGGCAATAATTGACCACTTAATGTATTAAGGCTGATAGTTTCGAAAGAAACTGTTTGGGGCTGCGTCAGTGGGAGTAACGAAATAATTTGGATATATCAACAAAGTTGAAATGGTAAATTGGCCACCGTAATGATTACAAAAGCTGACGTTTCGAGCGTTAGCCCTTCGTCGAAGCCATTCGCTCCGATGAAGGGTTAACGCTCGAAACGTCAGCTTTTGTAATCGTTACGGTGGCCAATTTACCATTTCAACTTTGTTAATATATCCAAATTATCACTTAATGTATTGCTTTCAGTGACTGAGGGGTGGAGGATAATCAAAACAGGCCATTAGGACTTAGTAAAGGGTGACTGCGACCTCGCAATAGAGGTGATCATTTACTAGAGGTGAAAATTACAGTAATTAGTAATGGTACTAGGACTGAGTAGAGTCCATTTGGTCTGTAATCATGCATAAGAGTGACTAACAAAATTAGACTTCAACTGCAGAGCAACTTGAATTGCTTGCACTACTTAGTGACTGAATATCCCTTGTGTTGTGCAAGGTTGCCATTAGAACATGCAATAGATGCAATAGGTGCAATAGATGCATGATCTGAGTTGTGGGCAGTTAAATTGAATTATGCCTGAGTGTTTAGCAAACATGGAATGTTGCATTACGACATGCTCCTCTAGGGGGGTTCCCCTGCATGCTCCCCCAGAAAAAAATTGAAACTCCTTTGGACATGATTTCCAGCTTTCTAAGACATGATCTCCAGCATTCTAGAACATACTTGGAAAAAGAAATTATTTTTTTTCTTTGATCACAATTTGCAAAGTAGCCAGAACAAAATAGTTTCAGAAAGCTAACAGGTTTCCACAACTAGCTTCTGATGAAACCCTGAACCCTGGTTTTGTGAGAGGCATGAATAGGTATTGATAGTATTCATAAAGGAGGTGAGAACTGTCAAGAAGAATACAGAAAGTATCTTCACTCCATTGCAGAAATGTGAGAGGACTGGGACAAGTTTCTTATATTGATTACATTGAAAATCTAAACATTTCCACTGACATGTTACTGAATGAAAAGCTACCCAGTCAAGTTTGAGAGTTTTCAGCAGAAAAGTGTCCAAATTGGAGCCTTGCAAAAGTTGCAAATATTCCATACAAATGCTTAAAATGTTTTGGCCTGTCTACCCAATCCATACCAACTCTCTATTTTAGGTGATATTTGAAGAGCTGTCATTTTGCCATTTTCCTCCTCTAAATATTTCTATTCTTGCTTAAGATGGCTGGTACTAGTTTCCTCGTGCTGGGAACAGATAACTCTTGCAGCACACGAGAGAGAAACGTGCAAAAGAAGCGTGAGATTAAAAGACGAAAATTTAAAACAAAGATGGCGGCCCGAGGATTTTTTTCTACTTATGTGAGAAGTTTACCTAAGAGCTTGTATTTAATGTGTTGAGCAGCAACTGTGAATGCAGGAGATAGAGACTAAGATAAAGAAGACGATTTTCAGAGAAGTAAAGGATGCATCACTTCACATTTAAAAGAAATATTCAACCGATATGAAATCTTGCGACGGCGAAAGAAGAAGAAGCTAAACTTCAGAATACCTGGCCCCTCATTTACATGGCATTAAATAAGAATAGCGTCTATTGTGTTATGCCTCATTCTTCAAAGCCTCCCGACACTTGTAAATGATGTGGACGGGTATTCTGAAGTTGCTCCATATGATATAGCCAGAAGTCATGTGTAGGATTTTTAAGATGAGCTCGGGAGGCTGTCTTTGACAGCTGTTTAATGATTTTATTGGCAGTAAATGTCTGTAAACATCAGATCGTAGGTGCTCGCGTGAGCACACGCAATTGTCAGCGATAGCTAAAACAGATCATGAGCAAATGTCGATCTTATAGAATCCAGATTTTTAAATGCTCGAGAAAGCGCGTGGAAATTGCTGAACTCACGAAAGCTATTGCATGAAAACAAGTCCGGTGACCCCTTCTTTTTACTGTTCCAATATGATAATAACGTTGAAAGGAATCATCAGAAAAAAAATTAGAAAATTCTACGGAAGGAAATTTGTCATGTGTGAAAGTTGCCTTTTTTCTAGATTTTCTGAAATTCCGCTCCGTAGAATTTTCTAAAAATCTTTATGCATTTTCCTTTTCAAGTGCCAAAAGCAATCACTGAAAAAAATCACGGGGTCACCGGATTAGTTTTGGAATTATTTAAGCCAAAAGCTAAAAAATGCGTCTGAATACGCCTATGAAAGCCTTGCCATGGAAACTGCTAGTGACGAAATGACACCTATTTTTGGATAACCAATTATTATATAATTCAACCCCGTAAAAGTGTTCAACAGGCCTTGGTCAGTCTTTCTGTTGTATTCTTTCAAAGTTACAAACCATCAACAAGATGAAAACTGGTACGAGCCACCTTAATTAAGACTCTCAAATTTAGTTGATCTTTCATTTAAATATCTTAGTTTTTCAAACAAACAGAAAACAACCACACTCTTTCCCAGTCTTCTCACTTTTCTGCAATGGGCTATGACCTTCTTCTTGCAGACCAGCATTTTCCAGCAGGGAGTATGGCAACACATACCTTGAGAAAGCCACTCCATAATAAAACAGTGGTGGTGATTATCCTAGAAGTTATCCTTTCTCTGTAGAATAGGAAATGACCCATAGCTATCAATTGCCAGGAAACTTTACTGAAAAAGCTGAAAAAGAAAAGAAAAGAAGAATCATGTGTTTAGTTATCAAATTACACAACAGAAGAGGGCATTTGATTGGTGAATAGATTGAGACCATTTAAACACTTTAATTTTTTTCTTTATCAAGGGAGAGGGTAGCTTGCTTGACTCATCTGAGCTACAATTTGCACAGAAAAGGAAAAGGGACTGTGATTCTACCAGCTTCTTATATGAAACAGCACATATATAGCTAGCAAAGGTTCAATCAATAATATTCCCCATGATCACCTAGTTATCATTTTATTTTGAAGCAAAGAAAATTAAAAATTGTGCCTCTATTTTCAAGTTTTGGTCACTTGAAAAAATTGCAAGATTAAGTGCGAATTAAACAGTTTCCTACCGATAATCACGATTCTCTTTTTTTCATATTATTTGCACTCAGAATCCAAAAAAGGTGAAATAGTTATTGATTACACATTAAATAAAATTAAGCGAGGCGTCAAAATTAAATTTTAGACCGACATACAGTAAATGAAACATTTGCCCAGCGCACAGTTCTACCAAAATCAAACAGTTACCGCTGATAAATTATTCATTAGGTTCACTGTGCAAAAATTTGCGTAAACTCGTAATTAGCCAGCAAATTAGAATTCGTTTAATTTATTAAATAACAAATTCTACGGTCATATGATGGCACGAAAGAACATAATTCTGTAGTAAAGATTCAAATAAAATACAATGTTATCAACATAAACTTTCTACAAATTGGTAGCTAACTTACTAAATCAAATTCCATACTCATTTATAAAGCTCTGGGAGTGGAAGGAATGACGAACCAAAAGTCTGCAAACCTCAGAATTCCTTCAGTGCCAAGAACTCGTGTCTGGGTTGTAGACGCCGTTATCAAGACAACTTGGTAATTGTCTGCGAGGAGAATGGGCAACAGACTTATTTGCGAGGAGAATGGGCAATAATTTGGGCAATAGACTTAACCCGCAAAAATTTTCTTTCCGGAGGAGTTGGGGGACAACTCCAAAACTTGAGCCAAGAATAAAAACAACCAGACTGAGGAAGAACTTATAGATAAAGAATTACAATTGAAAATTCCCTTTTTTATCGAACGTGAGTGAACTCGCCATCAAATTTTGATGTACAGACATTTTTTTATGGTAAAGGAATTTTCAGTTTTATACCTCCCCTCCCTAGTGGATATGCACAAAGTGTACTTTTCTCTAATGAAGGAGATTTTTCTTCCGATAAAAAACGCGAAACTGAGAACGTTTTAATAAACTGAATTCAAAATGCATAGAATCATGAATTTTTTTTACGTATGCTGTGTCTTTTCGTTGCTTTCTTATCAAGATTCCCTGTAATTCAAATGCGTTTTAAACTAATAATGCATGATCGGCTTTTATCTTCTCCATACTATCAGAGCAAGAAGCTCAAGGACACAATTTAAATCAAAAGTAAAACCAGTGTTTAGCTGTAACGGTGACTGTTTGGAGTTACGATTTTGAAGTGCTTATTTCACATGGAAAGCATGGAACAAGAGCCTCTTCTTGGAGTAAAAAAATCAGGTATGAAGCACGAAATGCGCGTTTTTCTTTTGGTTTTCCGTTCAACACGATAGAAGTTTAATTTTTATACTTTCCCTTTTATACTTTTATGTTACTTTGCAGTACTTTGATTCACCCTTAGTTGTAAAAATATAGCTCATATCTAAAGAGGAGAATCTATTCCACGGGAATTTTTTTAAATCGTTATCAATAAGGAACGTTTCTTTGTCAGTAATCTTAACTCCGGATTATGAAATCAAGAGCATTTCGAAGTGATGGAAGACGAAAAAAACTTCATGTTTGATAAATATTGTTTGTGTGCCTGTCTTTTTGTGATGCGTAACTGGGGTAATAAAGATATATCAGTAAAAGTTGTAAAGGGAGAAGTAAAGTTATTTTCGTTTTAGTTTCAGTTAAAAATCTTGCTTCAGTAAAGAGCACTTAGCGTGACTTGATACTACGATACGTCAATCGGTGTCTCGTGATCAAAACATGATGATTACGTTTGCATTTCAGTGGTGTTAAAATGACATTTAATGTTTTAATCGTATTAAAATTTCCGAGGCTATCCAACAATAGTAATTTTTCTCCGAAATGATTTCCGTAAAACCTCATACTATTCTCAAATAAAGCCGTAGTCTATTACAAACGTTTTGAAGTTGTCGGTCATTAGCATTTTGATTAAATTTACGCAATCTATCGGTCTCATAATTACTTTATCCATGGAGCCGTGAGGAAATCTTGCCTTTCATTTTCTAGATGACTTTGTTTTTCGTAGTCCTGTCAAAATTATAAACTTGCAAAGATTCACTGATATTGAACAATTGTTCTAGGCGAGATTTCCTTATAACCGCGTACTTCATTATGCATACAATTCTTGGATAAAAGAAAGCAGAGGCAAAACAACAGATTACCTTTGAGATTAAAGCTGTGTTCCAAGCTAGCCAAATAGGGCATGCAGCTCTTTTTACCTGTGTAGATCACCTCCATCAGCAGGGATTTTTAAGCTGCTACTCTCTGTGCTGCCTCAGGTTTGCTCAAGTTGTAGAACACTAGACTGCCATGTGGGAGGTGGAGGGTTCAAGGCCCAGACCACACCAACACTTAAGGCCTTAGAATAATTGAGTAGCTCCCAGTATTGTGATCTGGCATTGATTCCAAAACTGTGGTGGGGCAGAACTTGTTTAATTATTACGGGGGGTGAACTAAATATAAAGGTGGTATTGGGGACAAACTTGCAATGGAGGAAACCTCTCTACACTGTCAGGTACCTCGTTACTTTTTTTAGCTAAATTTTTCACTCTTTCAACAGGTCAATCTCACAATAAACATCCTTACTCTAGATCATCAATCAGCGACGATTTTAATGAAACCTCTGTGTACTCCTACTGTGGGAGTAATTACAACATCCCCAGACCAGATAGACGCCAAGCACTATGTGATACTACATCTACAAATAACGAGGAGCCTCTGGCTCCACGAAAAATTCATCGTCCTTACTTTATATTCCTCGTAACAATTGTAAATGTGGCACTTCTTATGTATACCTGCATTGCTGGAGGAGTCGAGAAAATTGCTTTCAAGCCAGAGCTTCAAAATACATCAGTTAACAAATTTGGATATATAGGATTAAATGATTCAGGGCATAAACAACACATTGCTCGATACTGTGGGGTCAACTGGTTCATTGGACCTAATTCATCTTTTCTGATTCAGACAGGGGCTAAGTTTGGTCCGGTGAGTTTTGAATTTTTTACAGCTATTCAATTGATACTGTTTTAACCTTCTCAGTGAAGGACTGTTTATAATTTGCTAACCCTGTGATGAGTCTTCATTTGTATGAGTGAGAGTCTCTAATTACAACTTCCAGGTTTTCTCTGAACTCATTCTAAGAACTTCTAATTAAGTTTAACCTTTAAACATGCACCCTTGCTTCAGCATGCATAAATTTTCTTTACTGCTCATTTCTACAAATCCAACATGCAGCAATGGTGGGGAGAATTTGTGAGACTATCAAGAGCCTCTTTAATTTGTGATCATTTTTCTTACTCTAGTAACCTTAATTAGTTTGAATCAGTAAATATTGCAAAGAGAAACTAGATCCCAGTCACTCTTAGGGGTTTCTAAGGGTTAAGTTAGAAACAGGTAGACATTTTTTACTTTTAGTTGTAAGGTTTCAGTGCCAGGGCTCAACACTTAAACATTTCAACTTACTAGCCAAGTGGTGGCTAGTGACAACTTAGATGTTACGACAATTTCAGTTTGTTTACTAGCCAAACTGGCCAGTGGAAATAAAAAACCACTAGCCAAAACTGAATTTCTACTAGTCTGTGGTTAGTGAGTTTCCATCAGTGTCGAGCCCTGAGGGTCATGTTTTATACATTCTCATAGTGAAGGTAACTAATAAGGGACCTTATACTGATAACCCTTGCAATTATTGCAACAACTAGGTGTAAGATTCACCTTTGTTAAGTTGTCATGGTCACCTCAATTGACTGAGTCCCAACCACCAGTTTGTATTGTCCGTTTCCACCTGAATTGAAAGGTCACTTGAGCAGAATCACCTATTCCAATTAAAACCAAGAACAAGGTAATTGACCTTATTTGAAAAAACCTTTTGGCTGACAGCGATGATAACTTATATATTCATTAAATGTTTCCTCAGTGTATGAAGAAGTTGGAGGTTGTAGAAAAAAGAATTCATAACATATCAAAAAAGGAAGCTGATTATGTCTGTTGTTCCTTTAATGAGGAGTGTGGAATGATGAAAAATACAAGGTATGGGTTAATTTTTAATAAGCACTTAGTGGTAAACTCTACCATAGGCCATTACACCCTCTCATCAGTACATATATTCTCCGTACTGTTCTCTATGCATTTCCTAAAGTGCTGACCAGGAGAATTTGTATAACAATCAGCCACTTCTTAAATTGGTGATAATTTCCTTGACCTCTCATTCTCATGACCTTTACATACATACATACATACATACATACATACATACATACATACATACTTTATTGCCGCCTCCCCAATGGGGCTTTTCAGGAACAATATATAAATTACTGACTATACATTCAAATAAAATTAATTAATCACAACATCTAATATAATATAATCTAAGAATATATATAAAAACATATGTACATGATTGGTTAAAAAAAAATATTCTAATCAGAAGTACTAATCAGATTTCAAAAATTCAGAAATAAGCAAAGATTTGAGTTTTCGTTTAAACATATCAATTTTAGATTTAATTCAAACATAATTACACTATAAGGAGAAATTAAAAGCCGGTCACTCTTAGGGGTACAGTAAGTGATCAATTATAGCATGTAGTGGCACTGTGTTTCGTTTTTTACAATACCCAAATCTGTAGAATCTGCATTAACAGGTCACCCTTGCCATTCCCTGTGGGTGATCACAGGTTCGACTGTAATTTTGGTAGTTTTTGTTTAAGGGGTAACAAGATTAGGAGGGTCCAACTCTAATAGATAGGGATGAGGAAGAGCATATAAAGAAACTTGAAGTTCAAGACCAGGGAATTATTAGAAAGGAGGCTTGATTGAGATGTTTGGATTATTTAGAAACTTTAAGATCTAAATGGTTTGGGTGAAAATTCACCTTTCATTCCTCCTCAGGAAGAAAAGGGTGAAAACTGCTTACCATAATATAAAATCACAGTGACAAAAAATATCATTTACTTTAGATGGAATTCCTTGCTTGTCTCTTGTTATTATATTGGTCAATTTGTGTTTAGTAACCCTGTGTACAGTTATTTAATATTTGGTATCGGTAGTATCCATTGCAGTGAATGCTAATGAAAATTGGTGTGAAATTTTCTTTTAAGTTGCCAAGGAAAAGTCATTGATTCTGGGAACTGTACAAGTCCAAAAAGTCCCTATTGCAAACGTGGTGTTACGTTACGACCCTGCTGTCTTGGAGTTCATTCTCAATGTGAAGTTATCTCTGAGCAGTATTGTTCATACATGGGAGGTCATTGGCACAAAAATCAGGTACAAAATTAAATTTTTGTTTCAAGAAATGATTTGTATTCATTTGTTACCTTTAAATTTTGATGGTGATTTTAGAGCTTTTCCCCAATATGTGATCTGTGCTGAAACACATCCCTCAAATGTCTAATAGCCAGAAGTGAATGGGTAATGGTGCTGCAAAATTAAAATGAAAGATAATGACATCAACTTCATAAAAAAGATAACAAATGGGAATTATTTTATAGGTCTTAATCTTTTAGTGAAAAAGGAAAATGATGAAATTATCGCTATTTATAAAAACTGTTTTGAGATCACTGGTGATCCTTGCAATCTGATTGGTTTTCATTGATGCGATTTATTCACAAATTGTGCTATTTCTTTGCTCTAAGTTTCATCTTTTTTCCTGGCTAACAAGAAAGCTATACTTAATCACAATAACCAATCAGATTTCAAGGTTTGTCTAAATTAGCCAATCAAATTGCAGGAAAATTAAAAGAAAACTTGCAATTTTTTGCAAACCAGCTCAATACTGGCTTAATTAAGTCTTTGTACAGACTGGAAAATCCTGTATCTGAGCAACTGAGTTTTGCAATTTTAAAATGGATGTAATAAAGTGGTAATTGAAATTCATGTTGTGCAATTTTGGTCTGAAATCTGATACTTGTGATTTCAAATCAAACTCACATATTGTGCTCTCTTTGGATTTTGAAATGATTTCAAATGATATCAGACCACATTGCAATCCCCTCAGTTCAATTACCAATTTTAACTTACCAAGGGGTGTCACTCTTTTCAAGTATTGGATCATTTTGACTGTAGACTGAGGATGTTACATTTTTCTTTTAAAATGGTCAGTAAAACTTAATATTGCTTCTTTTTCATGTCATCCCACATGGTTCTCTGTTGATGGTTTGATAGACCCTCTGTACCCCGGTGAATTGCCTTGATGGGATTTGTGGAATGAGTGGTGTTAAGAACAAGGCTAGTGGAAAGCAGTGGTATAGATTGATTACAGCAATGTTTTTACACCTTGGTATGTTTTTACGTTGTATTCCAGTGTTTGGTGTAACTAGTGTCTGTGAAATTCCTTCTCTAGAGGGGGGGGAGAGATTTGAACCCATGATTTGAACCAAAGATGTGAACCCTCTTGTATTGCAGTAAAGGAAGTTCTTTACATGAAATGTAGTCTCCTGATGTTTTGTAAAGTTACCAAACTACAATGCATTTTCTCTCCTCCCTTCTTACTCCCCCTAAGTGTTGTTGCATAATATTACAAGGGAAGATTTAAGACAAGTCCCAGAGGGGTGTTTGGGGGGGGGGGGTTCTTGTTAACAATGTTGCCAGTAGCAGATCTCTTGTTGGCTCACTTTGCTTGGGCCTTACACCTTTCCTACAATAAATGAGAAAAACATTTTTCCTCTTACCCACCCTCTTTCAACTAGAGCCACCATCACTACTTCTCCTCCTTGTCAGAGGTAAACAGAACAGAGCTTCTTTTTCCAAGCTTAGAATGGCCAAGTAAAAGTGATTGTTACATAAAGAAAAATTTTTCTTTTGTTTTTTTAGGAGTGATTCATCTGATTACAAATCTCATCTTCCAGATTCCTGTTGGAATTTTGATTGAAAGGGAGATAGGGTAGGTCTCCTTTAATTTGTTATGATTAACAAGGTGTACGAGAGTTTTACCAAGCCTACCCCTCACAGTTTTGTGACGTTGAGCAGTACTGCCAAATTTGGGCTAGGGCTACCAAATAAGGTGATGAGCACGTGCGTGTGAAAAAAGAGAAAAAAAAAAAAAAAGAACAAGAAGGTTGTGAGAGTGCGAGTTTATGGAAAGTTTTTCCATCGAATTTATTGAGAGTTTCGTGAATTAGATTGAAGCGGAATAAACCAGGAAATTGTGTTATTGTGAGTTCTATGGGCTGTTTTATTGTTCAGCTCACAGGGCTTTTCATACAAACTAACTTACGAGTAGTTGTAATTTAATTTTTTTTTTCTGTTGTGATTTTGAATCCTTAAACTTTGTGCACTGCATGAAATTCTGGAATAATCTTGTTTTTGGATTCGACTGCTTTTTTAATGTTACTCTGAAACTGAAAACTGTGCCTCTTTTTTGTCTTTCTTTCTTTCTTTCTTTCTTTCTTTCTTTCTTTCTTTCTTTCTTTCTTTCTTTCTTTCTTTCTTTCTTACTTTCTTTCTTTCATTCTTTCTTTTTTTTTTTAATGCATTAATTAAAGGGAAGTTAGCGAGAACGTTTCTGAAAGGCGGCCGTGGGCCGGAACTAGGATGCAACACTTATCAACTGATAGTTTGTCATATTTTGTAATCTGTGATGGATTGGCATTCTATCCAGAGGGTGTAGCAATACCCCTAGTCGCTTCATGCTTCGGAAACTGGGAACGCTAGGAACGGCCACAGATATGAGCCACTTCGTTCGATTGGTGACCGCGCTTTTCTTAGGAGAGATGTCTGATAATATTCTTGCTTACGCTATGAAACTGGCTGATAATAAAGCGCCCAGACCAGTGTTCTCCTTATCAGGCGGTAACCGGTAAAATTTACCGCTGTAATATGTTACGGCCCAAAATTGCTTGGAATTCTTGACAATTCAACAAATTAGAGGAATGCTCCACCGATGTGACAATTTCTTTTACCTGTCGTGGTTGACATAAAGGAGAAGACTGCCAGACTTGTAGACTGCATTTACAACAAGGGAATGTCTTTCTGTTGAAGACTAAGTTTTTTTGTGTGTTGCTTTGTGATGAGGTCGATTTTTCCTTCTTTTTTAGCTCAATTCGGATGGCTTTGATCTACCTGATAAGTGGCATCGGTGGGAATTTATTTTGTGGACTTTTTGATCCTCTCACTCCACAGGTATGTATACGGATAGGTTAGGATGCGAACAATTCTTAAATTGTAAACTCCAAGCGTACCTAAATTATCGTCACAAGTTTGATGCTCTTTACAACTGATAATTGTGCGAATTTTGAAACTTGGGAAACTGATTGGATACAAAACCAAATTCTCAAAATCAAACAACACAGATATGTAGGGTTATCCGTTTAGAGAATCTTCCTCCATATCTCAGAAGTTGACCGTTGAACAAAAATATCGAGTCGGGAGAGTAAACAACAACACTCACCCTGGTGAATATTCATTTAAAAGCGAGGCTTGGACAAGCAGCGGAGCTTGGGGAATCTATTTGAGGCCTGAACCATTTTCCCTCAGAAGGAAGAATAACTACAAAAGTGGTGCGTTCGCTATCTAGAACGAATAGAACTTGAAATCCCGGATTCAAACGTGGTAACAAAAAAATTCATCATCTTTTTAAGCTTTTCTCTCAGTTCCAAAGTATTGTGGTCATTTTTTGCGCGCGAAAGCCGATACCTTGGCAGAAGGTTCGAGGTTGATTCCTCGTGGAGTACTTAGCTTTTTTATTTGTCCTATGCTAATAATAATAATAATAATAATAATAATGATGATAATGATAATAATAAAAATAATAATAACTTTATTAATCTCCTCAAAAAGGCTTTTCAGCTTAATTTACAGCGTCAAATATCTAAAACTTAGTTTTCCAAAAATAACCTTAAAAAATGCTGTTTTATTTTACTTTAAATACATCTAAATTAGTGATAGACTGAAACTCATCTGGGAGACTATTCCACAGGTTTTGGCCTCTGAAAGTAAATGCGCGCTGACCTGCAGCCGTCCTACAGAGTGGTTTATGTAGGCGGTCCCTACTCCAATTGTTGCAGTTGTACGCTACAGACAAAACCAATATAGTCATCTTTATTTTTCTTTCAATGTTCTCCTATTTCAGAAATTTACCAAGGAGTTGTTACTGTTGCTTTTTTTTAGATTCAATTGCTATTGTCTATTTTGTTTCTTCTTCTTTTTATTTTTTGATCTTGTATTTTATCTATCGATTAAATTTATAGGCTGGTGCCTCGGGAGCTCTCTTCGGTATCCTTGCCTTACTGATAGTGAAAATGGTGCAGTTTGGACGTGAAGTAAAGAGACCGTGTGTCGAAGCTCTTATGATACTGGGCGTGGCACTGATCAGTTTTGGTAAGTCAAGTCTTTTAGTTTATGTCACGAACGCGCACTTACGGTAGCTCCGTAAGTGAATTTGACGTTACGTGACGTGACGTGTGTCTTGCCATGTGACGTGTGACATTTGGTATCACGTGAAGTGATGTCGTGTTTTGTATTTTTTTATTGCTATTGCAACTTGCATGTTAGTCTGAAATAAAATCAGTTGAAGTTGAAGTTCTGTAATAGGGAAGTCTGTTTTTCTTTTCGCCATGCATGTGTGGACCTGAGATGTTGATATCAGATTTAAATTCAGCCAAAGTTGTATTCTTCTAAAGGAACAGTCATTATTTACTACCTGAGGAGGTCGAGAAGATTTTATTTGGGGGGGGGGGGTAACATGGTTTTCAGTCGCAACATTAGGGGGATCCGCGTCGCCAAAAGAGTATAAAAAGGGGGAGGTAATAGAAAATTGACAGTCAATTAACTGCCAATGAGGGAGGGGGGGATGGTAAGTATATTACAGAGCCTTGTGGGAGATACAGTACATTTTATCATGACGCAACCAAAATCCTCCAACGCCTATTCCCTCCTCCCCCACACGGTAAACTATTACCTTGAAAAAAGTGTCTTTTTTTATTTTGCGTTGTAGCGTTAGGGACGTTACCATACATCGGAAACTTTGTACACATTGGAGGGTTTGTGTTTGGTGTTTTTGCATCGTTGGTGTTCCTTCCACGATCAAACTTTCGTCGAATCCAGACCATGGCTCTTTATACCTGTTTCAAAGGAGTTTTTGCGTTTCTTCTTGCTGTGCTGACTTTTGCCTTTTGTTTTTTGTTTACCTTTGATAAAACTTCCAATTTCTGCTCATGGTGTCAATACCTCGACTGTGTGCCGTATACGGAACATTTTTGTCCAAACATGAATTCAGATGGGTATGGAAACACCGGTGGATAGAATTCACTTGCGACTTGATGAAAACAATGAGATGGGAGGAGAGATGAAATAGATCTTAGAACTTCATGTTGATGTGATCGTACGAGTTCTCCTGAATTCTCAACACTGAAGTAGCTAGTATTTTAGAAGACAGTTGACTATAGTCCACCTGAGGAAGCAAGAATTGGGTGGGGGGGTAAGCCCTAGAGTGCCTCACCCCTTCCCCTGTCCTTTTACTTAGATAAAATAAACCTATTTGGTAAATACTAGCTGCCACTAAGATGTTAGTGATGGAAGCCATTGCACGAATGCCCTATCTCCGATCCCTCGCCCCCTTTAACCCCTCTACCCTAAAGCTCTGTGGAAGAAGAAGAAGACGCGGGGCCCGAGAAGATAGACAACGGATGGGTTCTGGGCTGCACTAACACTAGATCGCCGGCCTTTGGGCGGAGGATACAAAAAAAAAAAAAAAATGAAAGGGAACAAGTTGTAGCGGTAGTTGGAGGATCGTTACTTATTTTGAAGTGAACGTAGAGGACAGATTCATCAATAATTTTGTCAGCTGCTGCCATTGCCGGGCCAAAGATATTACTCTGAATATTACTTGTTATCTCGAGATTTATTTCTGGTCAGTGCTAAGAGAATAGAGTTTGAAACGGTCACTCTGAAGAACGTATTTTACGACGATTACTTTAATGAATGAATATAGATCAAGTATGTCTGAATTTTTAATGGCAGAGAAAATAAATTTGAGAATTAAGAACAGTTTAAAACGAGAGATGCTATTCAGTCGATGACAGAGGCGCATAGTGCGATAAATAGAACTTCGAGTCGGACTTAAACCTACGACCTTCCGATCATTAGTTCTTCGGATGCTCAACCACTGAGCTACAGGAGACTGGTAACAAGCTTGCCCGTTAAACCAGGTCCATGGAGACAAAATTTCCTGAATGCTGTTAGGTCAGGAATGTCAATATGTGATGCTTATATATACGTACTGATGATGTAAATGGTTTTGGAACATTGTTGTAAGTGAGTAGCTAGTTGACTTTTGTTGTTGTTGTTCATTGTTACAGTGCCTCTTCTGTGACTGGCGCAAATGTTAACCAGTCACATCATAGCTAATGAGTGACGATTCCAACGGATTTGAATTGTGTCAATCAGTGACACAAAAATAAAGGCTGATAGTTTCTATAGAAACTGTTTGGGGCTGCGTCGGTGGGGGTGACGAAATAATTTGGATATAATCAACAAAGTTGAAATGGTAAATTGGCCACCGCGACGATTACAAAAGCTGACGTTTCGAGCGTTAGCCCTTCGTCGGAGCGAATGGCACAAAAAGATGACCAAGAAATAAGATGTATTTAATTATTTCTTTCTTGCAATTGGTTTGGTGAGTTCTGTCTCAAATACGATGGTGACGGTGTTTATATACTGTGACTTTCTGTCCAAAATGGCCTCGCATAGAGGCGAAATAAGTGGATAGCTCCTAGAATTTTAATTTGCTATGCAGAAAAGTCACCTAAAAACGCGGTTCAAATGAGAGGGGAAATTTTAATTTCTCCCCAGTCATTTTTTTTTTTTTTTGAGGGAAAAAGAAACGGGTGTGTCCAATATCCTTAACCAATTTTTCCCTAACCTCATCTTCGTAGATACTTTTGCCTACTTTCGCATACAATTTCAAAAAACCGCTAATCATCTCAAATCACAAAGATCATAAAATTGTTCAGATGATTAGGGAAACTCTTTAGATATTTGTATAAGAACGTGAAACTTAAAGATATTTAGCACTGCGTTCACGTGAAACGGCAAACTTCAGCTTGCCCTTTCACGTTTGACTTAAGATAGTATAAACCTTGCTGCTTCAGCTTGGCGTATTACTTACAAGGAAAAGTTTTGGTGCTCTTTTTCCGGCAATTAACTTCTACTCTGTGAGAGAAAACGTGAAGAAAATCTTACGTACACGACAAACACGAAACAGGTTACTTGCACGTTGCAACGGCAAAGCGCAACGGGCAAAAGTGAAAAAATGGCTGGAAAACAAGGTCACGTGGTCGCTCTTGTCGTTCGCGTTTCGCGTAAAAGTGAGTGGATAAATCTCTCAAATAACTTTTCCCATAACTGGGCTGCCGAAAGTTTAATAGGCAGCTGTCCCGTTAGACATAATAAGAACACAAGACCTTGCTCACAAGCTAAACAGACGACAATGACAGGTCTTGTCGGGGCTGTACACCGACAGGAACCGGTTTTTATTGAAATCCCTGGGGTATAGGGTAGTCCATTTTGTATCTGTTTAAGAGCCAGGATCGAGTTACCGTTGACGTCCTCTGAAGTGTTATCGGGTACGGTAACTCATTCATTTCAGTGGAGCTGAAAACATCTCAAGAATGCCCTTGGTTTTTCGCCTTCCGTTTCACTCAGACATGCCAAAGCCGGGCTTTTGTTTATTGACGTGTTTTCCAAATGCAGCAGGAGGAACTGATAGTTCTGAAGGTTCATGTTTAACAACTCGGAATGCGATCGATGCATTTTACACAGTCCCGTACCATGGCCATTGGCTTTCACTAAGCGCCTGCTCGACCAGGTACTCTTTGATTCTTGCAATCATAAGGACAAAGGGAGATTCATGGGCAAAAACAGACGATGGGTAAGCGTTTAATTTTCTGCTTGCGTAAACCTCTTACAAACGATTTATGGAGCGACATTAATGCGATTGACGTTGCGTTGGTCCGCCGCTCATGTACATATTGTTCTAACCCGGCGTACACGTTCTGAAGCCAGATCTACAGTATCCAAGAGGAAAAGCATAGCTTGACTTTAAAAATAGGTTGAAGAGCGTAGAAATAAATTCTGATTTATTTTTACCGTCAAGTGGTCACGTAAAAAGATTGATTATTTACTACGGCTCTTTCGAAATGACCTCTGACATTCTCATAAGTAAAGTGATCACTCTCATTCTTCTAATTTAACTGTACTTTATTCAGTTATCAAGATGATATATTTACCGTACAACAGTCGTAATCAGTTATTTACTTTTACTTGGGATAGTAGATTTACGGCATGATTGGAAGTTACATACTGTGGTAACGCTATGTGACCTCATGTAACGCAATACACTACCAGTGTGCTTCACTCGTTTCGGCGCAAACATAGCGCTTTGCGCACATCATATATGGGGGGGAGGGAGGGGGAGAGGTCTGAAGGGTGAGGGGGAGGGGCTAACTCACTGAGTGAAATCAAGAAGGTTTTGTCTCAAATATTTTAACCAATTCCAGCGGATGCCTTAACCTTAGAACTTGTAACGGTATGTCTTCACTGCCCAACCACAAATTGTGGTTTTCTCGACGCTGGATACCGTTAGATTTAACTGCCTTACTCGCAGAGTTGAACCACACATAATATTACGGCCCTCTTTCAATCTGCGCATGAAGGATGAGCGCAATGATGAACAGGTATTAAATTTTAAAGCTGTTATTAATAAAATTATCATGATTTTATGCGGAAAATCTTTAGTATGGAGCCTCAATATAGGAGTTAGTTATGTTACAAAGTATATTAACTAAAGAAGTGACATAAATAGATGTGCATAGAAGCAACAATTGAACGTAAAATTTGATAAAAACAAATGATCTTGTAAAATCTCCCTCTGAAGCAGCACCACAGTTTCTTTAGAGCTAAACTTATTCCCCTCATACCACATCTGTTGCGTAACATCAGCAACGGAGGCTTTTTGAACGAGCCTGAACTACCTGTGGTAAGCCGTGGGCTACCTGTGGTAAGCCGTGGGCTACCTGTGGTAAGCCGTGGGCTACCTGTGGTAAGCCGTGGGCTACCTGTGGTAAGCCATGGGCTACCTGTGGTAAGCCATGCACGAGGTTGCTACATATTATAATTGCTGGAGGACCAGCGACATTCAGTCGAAAAATGACTTGAGATAGATCGGGAGAAATTTTGGAATTAGGCCTCTAAAAGCAATTTACAACATTTGGCTTAATCTTAACTTCTCAAGTTCAAGACGAGATATGATTGCTCTTTTACAGATTACAGTTCACTGTTATGGAAACGAATATATATTCCAAACCATTTCCTTTCATTTCCTTTCGGGATTAGGCGTGCATCTTGTCACCGCCACAATGATGTTTATAAAAAAAAAATGCAGAACTACAACGAGTTGATTTTCTTCAAAAGAGTCAAGGCGCACTTCGCAGCTTCTCTTTGTACGCTAGCTACAATGCAAATGTATTAGCGTGTTAAAAAGTGTCTCTTTTGCTGTCAAATCGGCATGCAGATGTTTAATCAACTCAAGAACAAAGGCTGTGATATGGAGCCGTCGTTAGGGGCAGGTACAAACTGGTTTACTTGGATAAATCAGTGTTTTTCTCTTTTAATCAACATCAGGTGCACACATGAGGTGGTTCACTTGTTCACCTTCTGTTGCACGAGAAACACTTCTCTTGTAGAAGTGAGTTCTTGGCAGATAGAGTTTATCTACGTCCATCCACATAAAAGCCCCTTCAGTAGGTAGGTTTGTGTTTTTGTGTCTCTGGTTTCGCAAATCTCCCTTCTCGTGTGTCATTTTCTCCTTTTTGCTATTGATGTAAATCTTTCTTATCTGCGTCGACCACTAGTCTTGTGTTCTTTCAGTCGAGATAGATTCACTGCAAGATAGGCAGTTTTTTTTTTCTTCTTCCACCGCGTCACATTTGTTTGAAACTGGAAATCTCCGTCAAGAATGATCTCAACAAGAAAATCTTTTTTCGCCGTTTTAACGCCGCATGGGAACATTCATGCACAAAACAGAGTTTACAAACTTTAGAACTTCACAGCGAAAAAAAACCTGCACTTTTCATAGTCCTCGATACTCTAGGTGTCACTTACATGTTGAATGTACATGTTTGTTTTCTGTTCACAAGATTGCTCCTTTAGAAATTTCTCCTGTGGTGTTTGAGTTTTCCTTTCTTCCCTCTTTGACAATGTAGCCTGTCTCAGCCAAGTGTGTAAAAGAAGATGATTTAACTTAAACGCCACGAGTCTTTTAATTCTTTGACTTTGATGTCACTAAGGTGCGAATTTAGCGGCAAATTGTTACATCGTGGCTTGAATCACAGTGAGTTATTGAAGTAATTTCTTATTTAGGATCTTTCTGTTCGGTTCATAATCCGATTTCCATAGGTTCGTAATCATCGCTGGAAAGAAAAAAAAAAAACAGGTGTAACTGACATTAACCGCGGAAACTTACGCAACAATATCCCAGTTTTTTCTTCAAAAAGCAGGTAGCCACCCTGACAGAAAAAAGAAAACCCTTTCCGCTGGGATTAGGAAAACCGCATTGACAGACATTAGAACTTTTGGATACAATGAATATATGAAGTTCATTTTAAGAGCAACAAAAAAATGGCCACCTGAATTTAGGTGATCAGGCGTAGTAGTAACTTCCCGGCAGATGAATAAAGCCATACACGGATATTGACAT